ATAACACTTGACAGAATTATTGAACAAGAAGAAGAACTGATGAACTTAATAGTAGAACCAGAGTTAGTTAAAATTGGCATAGCAGAACATTACAAAGAACAATTTAGAGCAAGAGATACGAAATTAGAAGAAATATCAGAAAGGTGGAAAGAAGTTTACAAGCCACAAGAACGCATTAAAGAAGAATAATATATAGAATTAGAAGAAAGCATCAAAAAAAAAGAATGGGAAGAAGTACTGAGAGAACTCAAAATAGGAACAGCTCCAGGTATATCTGGTATAAGCTACATACTAATCAAACGAGCAGAAAAGAGAATACAAGAAGTCTTTAGAGCCTTTGCTAATTTTTGTTTGAAGAAAGAAGAGATACCAACCAAGTGAAAAATTGCACAAGTTTATCCAATACCAAAAGATATAGAATGGAGATACAGCTTAAACAATATTCACTTGATAGCTCTAATTGAAACGTTTAGGAAAGTAATAACAAAGGTGATAACAAAAAGGCTTGCAAAGGTGTTTATGAAAAGAGAAGTGCTCAGGAGACCAAACTACACAGGTCTATCAGGAAATTTAACAGAGCAGCCAGTGCATATTCTTAATATGATAATGGAAGAAGCAAAAAAAAAAAACAAAGAATTATGGATACTTCTACAAGATATAAAGAAAGCATTTGACTCAGTTTCACTTAAAAGTCTTGAAATAGCATTGCAAAGAGTCAAAATTTCTAGAAGAACAATAAAGTATATCATAAATCTTTTTCACAAAAGACAATTAAGGATAATTACAGCTTACGGCTTGACAGAAAAAGTAACAGCAGGTGATGGAATAGACCAAGGTGAAGTAATATCATTATTGATATGATGAATTTTCTATGATCCACTGCTAGAAAGAATACAAGAAGATGAAAGTTTAGGATACACAGTTGAGCAACAAATTAAAAAAGGAATGCAATGTAATAACGTCACAAGGTTTCGTCAAGCAGCAATTGCATATGCATATAACACAACATGGATTGCAAATAGCAAAGGACAGTTATTAAAGATTCTAGAAGTAGCTAAAAAGTTTTTCATTTATTTCTGTTCTTTCCTCTTTTGTTACTTCCTGACCTTCTCTTGTTTTTGTCTGTTTAATTAATCTTTGCAGCTCTACAATATTTTTTTCTTGGTGTTGCTTCTTTTGGTTTTTCCTTCTATTCGTCAGTATATTGTATATCTTTTTCTTTGGCAGATTATATTTATTTTTAGCTCTATGTTATATTTAATATTTTTTTAATATTTTATATAGTTTATAAATTATTTTATTAGTTTAATTATTTATTTAATAGGTTAATATTTATTTTAGAGCACAGATATTTCTACATTCTATTTTTGATATTTTTACACTCCTTGCTAAAATTTAAAATATTAATATGCAAAATCAGCATCATGTGTAATATTCATATATACCAAAGATCTATATACTACATAAATTGTATTTTTTAATATCATGTAAAATAAAATTCATAACTGTATCAATTAATATATTTTCTATATATACTTATAACAGGAATTCATCTAATTAAATAAAACAAATACAAGTTACAGATGCAAACATATGTTAGTACTATAACTGATTTTAATATCAATTGAACATAACTCAAAGATGTGATAATATATTAAAAAGTTATAACTAATGTTTGTCATAGTGCCTAATATTTGCTATAATACTTGACATGTGCTGTAACATTTGACTTATACTATCCTATTTGAATTATGCTATAACATTCAGTAAAAATTTGCAGAACAATTTTTTGATTATATTTCAGAAATTATTTAACAGTAATTTAAATCTAATAACTATGAACTTTCATATAAATATTTTTTAAGTTAAACAATAATTATATAAGTATAATCTAACAAAAATACCTTTAGTAAAAAATATTAGAGCTGCTTTATTTCAATATGCTGATTAATCATAGTATATATTATATGTAGTTATATCTTTGTGTGATTTGACAGATAGTAAATAAAATCATTTTTTAGGATTTAATTCTTTTTTATTTCTTTATGCAATAAATATTGATACTTCATTAAAGCTATTGTATAAATAATATTTGTGGTTTTTTATTAGTGAAACATTCTTAAAAAATACTACGAACTATATAAATTAGTTACCTAGCAATTGAATTATACTATTCATAACCATGTGTCTAAAATTAGCTAAACATAAGATGTTAATTAACCTGTTTGGATCTGGTATTATATATATTAAGCATGTGAAATGAACATCTTTAAATTAAATTAGCATAGTCTTTTTGGAAAAATTTAGCTGCATGTTCAAAATATAAAAATAAAATAAAGATAGAAATAGAGATTATATTCAGATAGAAATTTTTATTATATTGTTATAATAAATTATTCAGATAACTAGGTAATTTAATAATATGCAAATAGAGATTTTCTTAATAAGTACAATTACTAGGTAGAAAAATAGAGTATGCATATATTATATGCTACTAAAAAGCTTATTTTTTTAAGTCTGAAAATTAATAATGTTTATATATATTTACTATAATGTTCTTAAGATTTCAGTTTAATTGTATTATGCAGATCTTTTTAAAGTATTAAGTAATTATTTCTCAAACAATTATATATTTAATTTCCTTTTTTTTACATTAAAATATATCTCTTGCCATTTAAGTACATTATGTAAAAATTTATATAAAGAATAATATGAAATTGATAGTTAGTAAAATACAGTATAAAAAGAAAATTATAAATAAGTTGTATTTGAAAATTTACCTATATATTATGTTATACTTTTAAGTTATTACTCTTTGTAAAATAGTATAACAATTAATATTTTGGAATCACATGAATCTGCATATTACTATTGTTAAAACAATAATAATATATGAAATTTTAACAAATAACTTTTATGATTCTAAGAATTTTGCATATTATCATTGTTTAACAATAATAATATGCAGAATTCATAGGATTTAAAAACATTATTTATTGCACTATTTTATAAAGACAAAATGATCAAATCTATTTATTTATCTTTTTTAAATTTAAATTTAATAAAGTGCAAATCAAATGATTAATATAATGAATAAGAAATATATTATGAAAATAATTTTAGAATTTTTAACATTACATAATCACTTAAATTCCTATACTAAATCTCATGCTAATTACAATAAACTAAATTTTTTGTGCTAAATTTTAATTCATATTAATTGAAAAGATTTACTATTTAACTAACTACATTCAGGACAGATCCTACTATTATGCCCACTATAATGATATATACATATTTTCTATCTGCCATTTTTGATTCTTGCAGTTCAAAAATTGAAGAAACCCTTTGAGTAGATGATTTGACTTCATTTCATAATCCTGTTGGCCTTCCTCTAATAATACACAATAGTTGAATTCAACAAATTTGTTGCTAGTTTTTAAATTATGTTTAAAAGATTATCTCATACACTTTCTGTTAAGGAATCAGCCATGTCTTGTACTGTTGGTGAAACTCATTGAGCAATTGTTCTAATTGATTATCCTCTAACACCAAATTTTGCTAAGATAACATATTCTTATCAATCCATCAATGTTGATAAAAGTTATGAACATTCAACAGCTAAAAGAATGCAAAACATCTTTTTATTATATAAGCATAAGGCAAACCCATTGTTGAACTTAAAATACTAATACAAGAAGACAAAGAGTGTCAGAATTTACAGACATGACTTTTAGAAATTGTTTATAAACTTTTTTTAATTCATATACAGAAATTTTAGTAACAACTTTATAATAAAATAGAATATTTTGTTTATGTGAAATTCATGTTTTTTTCTTGACAATTATTGCCTAATTTTATTATATTGTTTGTCAAATAATAATGTAATATTTTCATATATATTAAGATTTTCTATAGAAATCTGTAAATATTGTTTCAAGATTAAATATGCATCTTCTACTCTTGAGGTTACAGTATTACCTAAATGAAGATGCTTATTAATTCATGTATTCACAAATTGGTTCTTTAGTAGCAACTATGTAGCTTAAAGATAATTTGTAATAAAAGAATTTTTATCATAGTTATTATATAAGTTATGTAATTGAATTTTAAATTCTTTCTTTATTTTTGACTTTACAACTCTTAACCAACATTAAAAAACTTGTTCCATTCTTCATCATTACAAAAACTCAGCTTACATTTGCTTAGAATATTTTTTCTATATGCCATAGGCATAGAAGATTTTTGAACTCTAAAAACACATGCTCAAGTGCATTTATTAATGCAAATTTTCAATCTGTAATTACCATCTTTGGCTTTCCAATTTCATTAAATAAACAAAATAATTGTATAAAACTTCACTTATAATTTTCTATATTTTTACTCTTAAGAAAAACAAAACACAAGTAAAAAGTTATATTAAAACTTGTAATTCCAACAATGTTAAGTAAGGGCATCTTGAATTTATTTATTTTATATATACAATTCATTAATAACATATTAGAATAGGTTCAGGTTAACTCAATGGATTTGTTATAAGAAAAAAAAAATAGGTTATGTGTCTATCAGAATTACACATATAGTTATACTTAAATGGTCTTGTTTTAAGATCATTTAAAAGTGCTTAAATAGGTGTTCATCCCTAAAGATAATCTTGGTGGAGTTTTTAATATGTGTTGTAAATGTTTTTTGAAGTTGCAATAACAGAAGAATTGTTTTGATTAAAAAAAACAAGATTTGTTTTAAATAAGTGCCAGCTTTTGACAAAGTATTCAACTTTTCTAAAGCTTTATTATCTAATCTTTTAAAAGATGAATGTGCTAAAGGATTTTCTAATAGTTCATAGTTGTGCTTTGGATTATTAACAGACAAAATCTATAAATTGTTAGACCTCTTTTTTTTACAAAATGCAAAAGAAAACCAATAAGTCTAGAGCTAGTTTTTCTATAATGTGTTTCATTAGTAAGATTTAAACAATTCTAATAGTTTTTTTCCTAATTACAAACTAAATATACTACATTAGATTTGAATCTAGCAATAAATATTTCAAATTTATTTGCAGTACTAAACTTTTAAACATGCTTAATTAATGTTTTATGACTAGAGAACTCACTAACAAAAAGAGTAGATATAACCATTTTGTATATAATAATTAAGACTTAAAAAAAAACTTTCTAAATAAATATGTGTTTCTAACTTTTTGTATATATTTCATGTTCAATAATATGAAATAAGTAAGGTATATATAGTCTAACTAGAAGGTTCTTATAACTGGTGTTTTTTTTGGAGGGTTTTATTTTATTTTTTTGCCTAGTAATTTTATATATGCTATTTAATAGTTTGTGTAACTTTAATATTTGTATAGGTTTCTTTTATGCCATGTGCCATGTAAGTATCATTTATTTGAGTTTTTTTACTATACTATTTTTAAACAGAATGATCAAACTTTTTTTTTTATATTTACATTCTTTTTTATATTTAGTGATTACATATTTGTATTATATTTGCTACTGATACTGATACTTTATATTTTTATATATCTACTTTATACTCTTATATATTATATGCATATTTTTGTTTATTTTTTATTTTTATTTTTTTTTCCACTGCTTGGTCGCTAGTGGTCCGCAGCTGGCGGCTGTTTTATTAGTTCAAATTTCAAGTTCACGGGACCTTCTATCAGGACCCCGTCTACATTTTTACATTTTAGTTTGTGTACATTTACGGTACTATCTATATTCAATTTGTGTTCCTATTACCCCGGAATTTCACCGGGATTGTCCTAATCGGGGATTCCTTTGTTCTATTTTTATCCTCAGCCCCCTAATCATCGCGGCCTTCTTATGTCAGGTCCGTCGCCATTTAAGGATCTGGGTACCGAAGATCTTCCTAATTTTGTAAGACATCATCTGATGTGGTTAATTAACAATCGTGGTCCTAACTCAGTTTTCATCCCCTGTTGGACTTAAACCGGCAACCTTACGATTGGTGACCTGGGAGCGTAACCACTTCGCTACCGACCCGCAGGTCACATTTTTGTTTATTTATTATCTGTTATTTTATATATGACACATTATTTGTATAACTACTTATTTTTTATTTATTTTCTAATATTTGTTATTTTTTTAATAGTTGAATTGTTATGTTTTATATTATATAGGTTATAAGTTTTATATTAACCAATTTAATTTGCATATTTTTAACAGAAGGTATAAAAATATCAAAAATAGGGTGTAGAAATATTTATGCCCTTATTTTATTAGTAGATTTCTTATAGTATTTTATTTTAGCCAATAGTTGTTTAGATCTCTAAAATAATAGTTGTTTAGTATTATAAAGGCCTTAACCAAAGGCTTTAAGTTATGCTTCAAATGCCTTAGATGTCTCAGAACATTCTAAAACAATGAAACAATTAATTTAATTATAGTTAATTAATATTTATTAATTAAAAAGTGTGGCAACTTAGTGAAGTAGATAAGTTGTCAACCTCCAAGTAGTAGGTTGTAAGTTCAAAACCTACTAACAGTGAAAATTTGAATAATTATCTATATAATATATAGACAATATTATAGCAATAATATTTTTTTGATCAGTTGGAATAGGATATCTGTAAATATAGTCACATTAGCATGACTGGCAGATTATGAGACATCTGTGTAATCTTGGATATACAAAGAGATACAAACTGGTACAGGTGGTGCAAATCTAAAATAAGTTCTTGTGGCTGTATAAATTTATAGAACTAAGAAACCAAAGCCTACTTGAAAAAACCTAAATAAAGAGATAAAGCAGTACTACTATAAAGGCTAGATCTAGAAAATATATACTAATATAAAGAAGCCAGATAGGCAAGAATCTTAGATGAAGAGTATTACCAACCAGATTGCTGAAACTAAACTAAAGAAAAAGAATATCAGGCTGGTTTAATATACTAAAAACAAATTACAGTCTCATTAGACTATCTAGATTGAAGGTCTGGATTAAAGCAAAGATATATTATAAATACTAAGGATATGTTGTAAAATAGATGCTAGGATTTGAGTGAACTCTACAAAAGCTAGCCTTGTTAATGTTTTGTAAAATAGGTAAGTAGTTAACAAGAAGGTATCTCAGAACCTTACAGTCAGGTAACATACTTTGAAATATATAACAACTTAACAAACATACAAAAGATGATGACTAAATATTGGATTAGACAGCACTTAGTTGTACAAGAATTAGGTGTTACTTGTTTGAATGTAGTATAAGAATCAGAGTGTTTAAAGATACCCTTCTAGTAGGTTATAGGCATAATAGCTAGTGTAGAACTCTAGAATGGACTACTCAAATAGGTAACTAAAAGCTATATGTATAGCTAGTTGCATACTTATCTTGTACAACTTACATGTAATGCATTAATCAAAAATACAAATAAAGGTAATAGCTACCAATAAAATCAGTCTTAAATAAATAAATAAATAAATATATATATATATATATTTATTAATTATAATGCAATATTTTCTATATACTTAATGACAATAAAACTAGTAATCATCATACTCTTTCTGCTGATTTTCAATATTATAAAGTTAAAAATCGATATACTTTAGTTTGCTTCAAAGTTGATTAAATAACAGATCTTGCATCATTAAGAAAAAAAAAAAACCACAAAAACAGCTTTAGTTTAATAGAACAACTTTTAAGAGAAACTGTTTGATCAAAGTACAAAAAACTTATTTGAAAATTTTTAAAAAATTTTTAGAAAAATTAAACTCAGCTGTAATCTTGTAATATTGATCAATTGACATGTAAACAAATTACAAAGTAAACAATAACATAAACTTAGTAAACAAATAAGCAAACAAAGTAGCATATATCTAATTAGACAATAAGCACAAAATGTGACTAACTAAATAAGGCATTAATAATAAAAATAAGCATTAGTTAAATAATTAGAAGTTTCTAAAAATAGAATAGTATAAGAAGTTAAATAAGCAACTAGAATTAAAACACTGATGGCAGAAATTAAAAAGCTTTATAACTTAAATTAAAAAAATATTAGCAGAAAAGTATGCATGTTTAAACAAATTAAAAGATTGTATTGCACAAATAGATCAAATATAGTAAAATTTTTAGGTGCAAGCAATTTAGTTCAAGTATATATTATAAGAGTTTTAATAGACAAATATAAAAAAGTGTAGAAAATCTTTATAGAAAAAAGAGTGCAACAATAAAAGAAAGATTTCTAGTTAATTAAAAAGAAGAAGTGCATAAAAATATTATACAAGATGTAATATATAACAATAAAGAGAAAGCACAAAATATGATAACAAAAATGAAGCTAGAACTACTAATATTGCAATTAGTAAGTCAAAAGACTTATATAAAAAAAAAAAGTATAACAGCAGAAGAAGATAATAAAGACATAGACAAAAAGAAGAAGAAAAAGGCAAACAACAAAATAGTAGAGCATAAAGACTAACAAAGTAGAAATTTAATAGAATTAGAAGC